CCTTACCACACCATCCTATATTATACATAAATAGTGCCTCTGTTCGTTAATAATTTGATGGATCACTCTCCGTGGCATTCTATACCAGCTCAATTACGGTAGTATTCCATGAGAATAAGTTGAAAAGACAGAGGATTATCTGCGTTGAGTGCTGGGACTTATCATCCTGATGATGAAACCTGTAAATAAAAAAAAAAATCAAAACGGATGGCTAAAAAAATATATTAAAAGCTTTACCCTTCATTGTGGACATTCGTGCCTTTTTGGCCTTCCCAAAATCGTAGCTATGATTATAAATCGAGCAATTGGTTATTTAAATTGAAAATGAATTTAGACCTCAATCAGTGGCGTACCGGGGGGGGGGGCACTTTGCCACGCCCTGGTGGATTTCTTCCGCAATTTTTTTCGGCATTATTCCAATTAATGGTAAGAGAGTTCCGATGTCAATCCAAAAAAAAGATAACCCACTCAAAAACCATTACAATGGGTATATAATTTGCAGTATGCAAAATGATGGTCAGTTTTGAAGAGCACCCCTCATTGAGGAAGAAGGGTACCTTTTTTTATTTTACGGACGGCAAGTGTCTGGAGAAAAAAAACAAACAAAAAACATGTCTACATTTCGGTGCGGAATGATGCGGTTGCCCCCTGACATCCAAAGCTGGATACGCTATACTGACCTGAATAGCATGAACAGCAACATTCAAAGTTTTGGCCTTAATTGTCTGTCTTGCTCCGCGCCTGATGAATTGCTGGTCCAGGAGCTAGGGCGCGCCTGATTTCATCTTGTTTGTCCGTTTCATTGTTTCACTATAGACTTATGACGAGTATTTGGTAGTGCTATCATGTCGGATTACATGGTATGGCAACGCCAAAAGAAAGAAATGAATCAAGCCCATTGTGTACAGAACATTATGCGTGCATGAAAATACTTCTTCTGTCTAACCCCGCCCTCTACGCATTCAAAAGTATGGCTGCTACCCCTTTCCCCTCACAAGTATAGGGGTGGATAAACGGGGGTTGTACATTCTAATTACCACCCCCACACCCATTTGGTAAAAAGGAAAAAGAAGACAAATCATGCAGGAAAAAAAGTGCCAAATGCCTGTATACTCCCTCTCTTGAAAGCTATACCTAGCTCCTTCCCCTGAGCCAAAGCAAGATCCACCCCAGGGCCGAGCTGTTCTAGGCTTGGCTTGTACCATTGCCGCGTGTGCAAAAGTTAGAGCTTGAGATACTCACCGGCTATGGCTCCCCCGACGAGCAAACCCATGGCCCCAATCACCAAATCTTCAGCTTGCTGACTGTGGGGTTTGTCATATCGACACAGATTCACGAAGTGCTCGCAGTTATTCTCGATAAGATTGTAATCAATCGGTGTTTTGTCTCGGTGCATGGTCGTAGCTGTTTCAATGATGACGTCTGGATCCAAATGCTCCACTTTAAGGTCTCTTGAGTTGTTGATCCTAACCTTGCCAGAACCACCGAGAATCATCCCAATCGTATTAGCTCGTATCTCGGGCTTTTGACCGGCAGCAAACGCACTGCCTGATATCTTCTTTTTGGAGAATGCCGCCCGCTTTTCGAACATACCGAAGTGGATGACAGCATGTCTCATATCCTGGTACCGACCGACGTATATACCCCAGTGTGCGTATATGCCACAGTCAAACTCCAGCCTATCGCCAAGGCATAACTCGTCTTCCAATGCTGAGATATCCGGAAATGAAGGCAAATGCCAGTCACCCACAATCCCAAAATTGTTCTTTCTTGCCATGTCTCTTGTCTGCACGACTTGTGGTTTTGGTATTTACGAGACGAGGAAAACTAATTCGTCTGATCACACAAAAGGCTGAAATTTAATGTTGCCCAAATAATATCACGGATCTGTCAATACAAACATACTGATATTGGGCCCATAATTGCACCATCACCTCCCTGTGTCGTCATTTCTGTTTACCTTCTACGCCGTCGCTTATAGTATTCATTAACATGGCAGTCCAAAGATCATTATTCAGCACTGGAATTCCCCCAAAAAAGAACGTCCCAAAAATAAGTTGTAAGTTCGTGACAAGTATAAGATCTGACATATTGTTTTGAACAAAAAGGGTTTCAACGGCCAAAAAGGTGCGTGAATGCTGATTGTATTTGGAGCCGCAGGAAATTTGTTTGCCTAAGCGATATGGGATACTCAATCAAACGGCGGCTCATCCAGAAGCTCATTTTTCTCATGCCAACGTGGATTCAACATTTAGTGTAACATGAAACAGGGCCGTGGATGTCTAAAACAAAATCAAAGGGTCCTAAGCACAAGGTACACTACAGACAGTCCCAGGTCCGATTTGACCCAGAACATGGGTTCTCTTTGGTCTAACACTTTGTCGGGTCAATATGACTTTTGCCATGGTTGTCGAATCAAATGGCCCCAGAAATTGGTCTGGGAAGCGCCATTTGACCACACAAAAGTGTCATTTTTGACAAAGTGAAAAGTGTCAGGCCAGCTCAAACCCTGATTCAGGGTCAATCTGATCCATGGGACTTTTTCGAAATGTACGAGGGACGAAGGACGAGTTCCTATTTAAAAGGGAGGAGTTCCTTTTTAAAAGGTTAATTGGTCTATTTCACCGACTGTCAAAACATATGGAACAATCATAGGCAGTCAAAACAATATGGACCATCAATAGGCGTACATCGTTTTAATTATTTTAGTTTTTAAACTTTGGTCGGTTAAGCGAAGAATGTAGACAGGTAGGATTTAGCTTCAGGAAACCGAGTAAGGGAAATTCATATGTAGGGTGGGGGTTAGTGAAAGGTTTGTGCCGAGTGAAGGCTGGGGTGGGGTGGGCGGGGTTGGGTCATGAGGCTTGCCCCCCCCCCCACCCCCACCCTTGTATCCTTAGGCTTTTCGGCAATTAATTCAGGCACTTTAGCATTCCATTTATTATATTTGACCCCATTTTACTAGTTTGACATTAATCAGCGGCTGTGATCTGTCATTGGTAGTGCCGAGTGATTCGCACGTGATCAGCAGATGCACTTGAATGAATGTCGCAATAGAATAACAAGTTCCAATGTCAATACCGACTGCAGACTGAAAATAATAGACACATGTTTTCACTTTAATCTTTTTTACCCTCAAATTCTTAGTCCTTCACAATAATCATGGTATTGACTTGACAACATAAGAAATTATAGTTGTAAATAAAAATCAAGCAATAATTGTTTCTAAAATAATTATGTTGATTTTTAAAATATAGCTCATCTTAGGCAATTGCTAATTGGTGGCTGTCGTGTATAAACACTCAATTAATAATGAACACATAAAGTAATAACTTTAATTAAAAAAATAAGTCAAAGCCTGCCACTTTCGCATAGTTCTGCGTAGCAGATAACGCTTGCATGAGCAGAGGAACAAACAGGGTCTAGAACAGCTTCATCATATTACAACTGAAAGTTATGGTAACAAGACAATGGTCTGTCATTAATTATTGTACTGAAAACAGTACCGCTACTTCAAAAACACACCTAGTTCCAATGATAACCAAGTTAACATGATTGTTGAGACGATTTTTGTTAACAGACCTTATACGTATGGCAGCCATCTTAGAGGGCAATGTCTTTAATTTTCTTGGATATGTATGAGTGAACCATTTGTGCATTCATTGTTACTGAATGAATCAAACAAAGACGTTCTCTAAGATGGCAGCTACGTATAAGGTCCATTGTGCAAACAAAACTGTCAACCAAACTCAAGAATTCTACAGAAAATAACTTGAACGTTACAGCAATGGGATTTGAGCAAAATAATAATATTATCCATTTAAAAAACAACTTTTTTTTCGCCACATCGTAGATTTCAACATATTTTATTATAATTGTATCTTTTTATACGAAGATAAAACTAGATACTTGTATTTATGAAATTATGTTAATGAGCCGTGTGTATTCACGAGCAACACTGTTTTACCCTGTCAACCAAAAACAATCAAAATTACAAAAATGCGATATTGCTATTGCAATTTTCCAACAATCAATCAACGTTATTAACGCATAACAGCAAGTGCACACTTTTTGAAGTAAATACTTTTTACATTCCACTTTCATTTACAGTAGGCATTCAAAGGTGATGGACATCATTAATTTTACCCCCAATACTGTATTTGCTGCCTTTTCAAAGAACAAATCAGCAGTATTAAACAAATAGCGTATCTAAATTTTAGCTCGGAATAAAGCAAATTTTTTATAGGAAACTGTGAAAAAAATCTACATTTTCTCGACGCAAGGCAAGGTTTCCGTTGAAATCCATCCGTTCCAAAATGTTTAATAACAAGTTTTGACTTGCGCCATCCTCTAGTTTGATTTCGATTTGTCACTTGGGAAAATCATTTTTGGATATGTAATAATAGAGGATATGTATTCGATTGCAAACTAAACAAATTTCAGTTGTTTGGTGCAGTATTTGGAAAAAAAGACGTTTTTCTTGTCTTGAAATTAACAGCATAGCCGCAATGATTTCATAGGCTGCTGATCCTTTTGTAGACTTACTTCATTTTTTGGCAGTTTTGTTTGTGAATGATTGCAAATGTTGTCCAGTCTAGTTCTATATCCAATAGTCATTAACTATGCGTTTGCAATGTTAATCAATCAATTTTGTACTACAAGGTTGTCCTATCATAATACATGTACCACGATACTTTTGGTTTCGCTTGCTTATATTATTTACAGCAGAGCATTTAATGGGCATATGGTCCATATTTCAATATTATACAAATGACAATCGATTGCCAATATTCAATAAACGTCGACCTTATAATTATGTAATATTATATGCTCCGTTATTTTTCCCACCATGTTCCCAAATGGTTTTGATTGAAAAGCAATTGTAATGGTTAATGCTTTGCATGACAACGTAAATTTCTATTGTGTCCTACTTTGTTCCCGGGTTTACAAAATCTACATAAATTGTCAGTATCAGACTGCGACGCAACGATGTTTTTTTCAAGTTCAGTTTCAATATATAATTCCACTAGTGTTTGTTAGCATCCTTACGACACTAACCGTCAATTCTCGTCGAACCATGGGCCGATTGGTTGTATCGCTGTTCGCCAATAATTCGGCGCGTCACTATTCGTTGTATTCTCTACCACCAGCTCAATTGCTGTTGAATTCCACGAAGCTTTGGATATGACAGATACAACACGATGAGGAGACCTGTAAATTTAAACGAATTAGAGCATTGGTAAAATGATTCACATTTCGTTGTTCATCTCCAAGCCCTCAAAATCAACTATTTCTATCCGCAAATCGTATATGCTTTGGTATACAAGTATTACCCCGTAAAGCCACTAAATGAGCTAAATCCCGGCCTTTGTGTATTCATCGAACATGGAAAGATGGATGAAAAAACGTTCAGTCTACGGAGCACGGGTTATTATTTTGAATTTTATTTAATTTTATTTTAAAAGCGCATGCCTGCTATTCCCCCTTCCCCTGAAGATTAAAGCCAGTGGCACATGACCGTTTATCCACCCCCTCCCCCCAAAAAGTTACCTCCCCTTGGGCAAAAGCTGGAATTAATTGGAATTAATTAAATATAGTTGTGTGCACTCTGGGCCACACTTTTCTAGGCTTGCCTTGTCTCGCTGTTAATTAATGTACACTTGGGTCAGTCTATTAGCCAGCTTTAAATCCTAACCTACCATGGCTTCTACGAAAGTGAAACAACGCTACTGCAGCTACTACTGCGGTATTCTGCGCACTATGGGTATCTACGTATCGACAACGATTTACAAAGTGCTTGCAGTTTCTACTGAAAGGATTGTGGTCAATCGGCGTTTTGTTTTGGTGCATGTTCTTGGCCTTTTCACTGATTGTGTGGGAACTGAGAAGTTTTTATCACAGTCCCTGGAGTTATTGATCCTAAACCCTGGCAAGCCCGAGAATCTTAGGCTTTTGACTGGCAGCAAACATACTGCCTGGTGTCTCCTTTTTGGAAAATGCCGCCCCTCCCTCGAATACTACCGAAATGGATGACAGCGTGTTTCATCCCTTATACCCCGTACCGTATCATCCAAGAGGCGAGTACCCTTAATCCCCAAATTCGCCATGTTTCTTGTCTGTCTTATGGGCGGTGTAGTATTTCTGATCACACACAAGGTCAAATTCTGTGTTCAACGATTTTGACGTTCTCGTGGGGAGTGAGGATTCCCGCTATAATAGACTGGTTCCCGCATTCAGAAATTTCTCACAGCACAAATTGATGCTGTGGTCATTTCCTACACTGAGGGGTTATTCACTTGGTTCAATCTTTTTCAGAGGTCATGAGTGCAAATGCTGCACTGGAATCAACAGAACATCTAAAACTATGCATTGCATGAATTGCAACATCGACGTAATCCCAAAACTCAGTGAGCAAAATGTTGACAAGGTCTGACACGTTTATAATTGCTTGAGTAAAAGGGGGTTAAACGGCCAAACAGCTGCTTTGCTGATTACATGTGGGCAAATTAATATTTTCATTTTCGCACAATTCAGCTGAACTTACAACGGGTTAGTTTTTTGATACCTCGCTTCAGATTTTTTTTGATTTTGATGTTCCTCTAATCGGTAAAACTCCTTATTTTGTTGCAAAGGGTGTTGATATACTGGACCTTATGACCCGTTTGAAGTCAGTTAGCTAGCTTTAGATACTAACTTGTGAATCCCAGTATGAACAATATAACGTTTTCCCCGGTTGTCTGCACTGCTTCAGCCTGCTCACTGTGGGGTTTGTTGTATCGACACAGATTCACGAAGTGCTCGCAGTTGTTGTCGAGGAGATCGTAATCAATCGGCGTTTTGACACGGTGCATTTTCTTTGCTGATCTAATGATGTCGTAGGGATTCAGAGGCTGTACTGTTTGGTCTCTTGTGTTGTTGATCCTCACCCTGCCAGAAGCGCCGAGAATCTTACCAATCGGGTCAGCTAATATCTCGGGCTTTTGACTGGCAGCAAACGCACTACTGGATGTCTTCTTTTTGGAGAACGAAGACCATCCTCCGGATATACTAAAATGGATGACGGCATGTTCCTTATCGTTGTATCGACCGACATATATACCCCAGTGTGAGTGCAAGGCGTGGCCGAACTCCAGTCTATCCCCGGGGCACACCTCGTCTTCCAAGTCTGCGATATTCTTAGAGGTATACCGTTTACCCTCAATCCCAAAATTGTATCCTGCAAAAACTTGGCTACTCCAGTGCCTGTCGTATCGACAAAGATTCACGAAGTACTCGCTGTTGCTGTCGAGAAGGTTGACATCTATCGGTGTTTTTCTTCGTTGCATTATCTTTGCTACTTTGACGATGACGTTGGGATCCAGAGATTCTATTGTTTTGTCTGTTGAGTTGTTGATCCTCACCTTGCCATAACCGCCGAGAATCTTTCCAATTTTATCAGCTCGTATCTCGGACTTTCGACTGGCAGAGGACGCCTTGTCTGTGGAGAATGCCGCCCCTCCATCGAATATATCGCAATGGATGACGGCGTGTTGCATATTTTTGTATCCACCGACGTGTATACCCCAGTGCGTGTACATACCGCTACACTCGAACTCCAGCCTATCACCGAGGCATAGTTTTGTTTCCAAATATGCGATATCCCCGTAGCAATACCATTTACTTACAATCCCAGAATTGTTGTTGCTTGCCATGTTTCTTGCCCGTCAATTAATGGTGGTTCCGTATTTCCGAGAGAAGAAAATCTCACACGTCTGATCAATAGGAAGGCCTAACGTGGAGCTCAAAGTTGCTCAAATACTGGAGGAAGTGGTGATTCCCATTTACACTGGTTCCTGCTCCCTGCATTATCGCTTGTTATGGAACACGTGTTCATGTACTTGTTTCAGGCGGAAATCCAGCCGTGTTCCGCGTAATAAATCTTTCAATATCATTCACACGTGGATGATTCTATTAAACTGGCAGGGGTGGAGCTGTAACTGCAAGCTAACAAATGTATAAACAAAATGTACCATTCCCCGTAATAAATATATTTCATTCTGAGCAAGGGGGAAATTTAGTCGGTTCCCTGAGTGGTATACATATCCAGGAATTTTTTTCAAAGGAGGGAGCGGGACCTTGTAGCTCAAGTTCAAAATTTGCTCTCATGGGGATGGATGGATGAGAAGTGATGTGTCAGTTGGACTTGGAACACCCTCATTGAAATAATGAAAGGAAACAGAACTCGGGACGCGAACAGTGTGATAGGTTATGCCTATTACGAGAGCCCAAATATGTGTGTAGTGTAGTGGTTGGATATTCAAGATGGCAGCCGCCGTGTAACGCCGATTGAAGAAGGAATAATTAATGAGCAATCGAAAAGGATGTAAATCCTGGAAGCTATGAATATTGCAAAAGACAAGCCATCGTTACTGCTCCTGCCCTGAATGAGTGTTTCAGATTTAATACACAACAAATTAACGCAATTCAGCCATCTTTGTTCTTGACGTTCTTCACGCCTCCCAATAATTAGTTGGGGGTGAAAATCCGGTTCGGCGTGGACAATGTTCGCGTGTTTGTACTCGTCATTTGCAACCCCGTTTTCGTGTTTATTTAACACGAGAACGGGGTTTCGAACTATACCACTGAGTGCACGGAAAATAATCGTCTTAACTCTCCTTAGTTCTGAAGAAAACAAATAAACACGACTGTTTATTTGATTACCGTACTGATAGTTAGCACGAAGTTTCCCCATACTGATTTTAAACTGTTCAGGCTATCGACAAAGACGTCCTATTTTTCTTGCTTGCACAACATCATGTGGAATTCCCCGCCGTGTGCAATCGGCAGGCCCTATTGTGCGCAACACAGTCATGTACACAGACTGCTACGACCAAATGTTAACAATGGCGTACTTGACCTCAAGTTCATTTACGCCATTCGTACACTGAGCCACGAGCTACCTGACGTTTGTGTCTTCAGCTGCGGAAAGCAGCTCTACTTTAATTTATATTTCCATTTACTACTTGCTCGATTTTGCATGTTGTAGACCTACTCAGCAGGCCCTTTTTCACCACAACTTACCCACCTAATTATTTTTAAAGAGTGCCCTATCTTTAAGAATTGCCCTTGTTTTTCTGAACAACGTGCCCTTTTTAAAAAGAAGTGTGCCATTTTTGTGCCATATGCCGTTTCGGGTGCATTTTTTGAGTTTCACACCTGTATCGCCCTAAAAAGCACCATATAATGTCCGATAGTTTGCATAATCGTTGGTTTTGAACAGCGCCCCAATCGACAGATGGTGCCTCCCCCCCCCCCGCCGCTTTTTTTTTTTTTTTTACGGAGGCCAATATTGTCCAGAGAAAAAAAATCTGCATTTTACCACGGTTGTGCAAGTGCCCTTTTCAACAAAATTTAACCCCCCCCCAATAAAAATGACCGTAATTATGTACCATTGGTGGCCGACCTGTACAGACAAAGTAGTATTTTGTCAAATTTGGACAAATTGTTGGAGCTAAAGTTAATCTTCAAAACACAACAAGGCTCATTATTGGCAATTTGATCCATTATCAGCATTTTGCTTGAATTGATAACATAGCAGCAAGAGCCAAATAATACTGTATGAGTTTATAGTTTTTTGGAACAAATATGACTGAATAGGCTACTACAAATAAATCTGGGAAGACAAACATTGGTTTGGTTTTTAAATGTTGTCATGGTAAATCCTGCCTAGTTTCAAAATGCAGTTTTCCCTGTGTTTAACTATACAAGGTCCCTACCACACCTCAAAATCGCCGCCCCTCAACGGTTAAAGCTATAGTCCATCAGTTGCAGCCATCCGAAAAAGTAACTGGCGTATTATTGTTGAAAACATACTTGGTTGAAAGATAGTAAGTGGACTAAACTCCCTGTGAAATTAATCTTTCTGGCAAGCTATCATTTTGAAGTAATCAACGAAAGAAGGCCTTTCCAACGGTGCGTCTTAAAAGTAAGAACATTTAAATTAGTAGTTCGTTTTGTTATTCGGCGTAGCATTGGCACGACGCACAGGCGCGCGCGAGGGCTATAATTCGTCGGATCAGTGCGCGACATCGCGTATAGCTTCAATTCAAAACAATTCAAAACATGATTCAGCAACATTTGATTTGAAATTGAGATCCTACAATGCTGTTTTTCTCGAAATATACAGCTGAAGCTAAGCTGAAACTTCATCAGGTTAGTTGTTTAGTATCCTTCATTAGATTTTGAACACTTTTGTTGCTTGAAACGAACAAAATGTACAAATTACAAATGATGGACTATAGCTTTAACTGAGCGACCCGGCCTCCTACATTTTCCTTTGTTCATTGGGCATTCATTCATTCATTACTTACGTAAGAATCGGCCGATACTTTGTTTATTGTGGTATAAATTTGTATTATATCCATTTAGTTGATTACTTCTCTCAGTTCAACGTTTCTCACATGCTGGAGGATTTTTGTCCACTGGTTCCCGCTCTCTGCATTGCCGCTTGATATGGAATACTTTGGCGGGAACACGTCTTTGTTCCGCATAAACTAATCTGTCTATGTCATATCATTCACATGTTGTTGTTTCTATTTACTGGCAGGGGTGGTGCTGGGTACCTGCAACCTCATGAAGATAATTTTATTATACATTCTGAGCACACCGGGGAAATTTAAACGGTGCTCTAGGCGATACACATTTAGGAATATTATTGTTAAGAGGTGGGGGACCAATTGTAGCTGATGCTAACGATGTTGCTTTTAAGGGGATGGGGTGAGATGTGACTGTGTCAGTTGGGTTTGGAATACCCTCACTGAAATAATGACACTGAAGGAAAAAGAAACTCAGGTCCAAATCTCAAGTCTACGGAAAAGAATCGTCCTACCTTTCCATTGTTCTGAAAAAAAAACCCAACTGGTTATTTGATTTCTGTAAATTTGCATACATAAAGTCTCCGTCATACTGATTTCAAACTGTTCTTGCTATTGACAAAAGGCGTGCTATATTTTCCCCCTTGCACAACATATGTGGAATTCCCCATCATGTGCAATCGGCACAGGTGCGCAGCATAATGAATACACTGACACAACCAAATGCTAACAATAACGTACTTGACTGCAAGTTCAGTTACGCCATTCATGCAGCCGTGAACCTTCTTGTATGATTCTGTTTTTTTTTTGTATCAGAGAGTTTAGGGTCGCTAAACGATGGCGTAGAAGTTTGCTTCATTGAAGTGCATGAACAACTTGCTTAGGCTACTATACAATCTCCATCTTTACACTCATTACATGACGGACTGATATGGTTCTTTTAAAAGAAAAGAGTAGATTACTGATTCTTAAAAAAAAATGATATATGGACTAAGATAAATTTTTTATATTTTGGTCTGCGAAAGGGAATAATCCAGTATCAAACTCTTTTCAATAAGAATAATTGCGGTAACAATAAGCTGTGATTAAAACTCAAGCAATGGTTTCTCACAAATTGAATATGAATCCTAAATGGACAGCATCCGAGGCATTTGCCATTACTCGGACACTCTCGATAGAAGTGACATTTAATTGAATGTACACGAACCATCGGTACCGATGGTTCGTGTACAAAGCAGAATGAGCCAATAAGACAACAGCGCCGATGGTTTGTGCACTGACAGATACAACCAATGAGAGAGCATACAATCACTGGTGGTCATCGGCCCAGTGACCTTGCCTAGCTCAGCTATCAGTGAGATTTACGTAACGTTGCGTAACAAAGTGTATGTGGGGAAACTGTGGTCAGGGCCCTGGCCCTGCACAAGGCCATGCATGTGCATGCTATCTTAATATGTTAATGTAACGTACACTTTGTACAGTTGAAACCTTATAATTCTTTGCTTCTATTTCTGGACAAAGGTTTGCTGCTTGCACTTTAATATATTAGTTGGACATGGTTGTACGGAAACTTGGAGAACGAAAATCTAAACAGGAATATGCTGAAATGTAGCGCTCACTGAGAAAGAGAACTGGAGTTCACATGTACATTTCAACCGTGCAGACAAGTTCTGGGAGAGAATATTCAACCGACGGCGAGATTACCAACACAAGCTACAGGATTTAATGTCTTCATTATCTGGGCAATTCCACCGTGATTGACATTACATGTATCAAATCAGCTCTAATGTCTAAACAATTACAGCCAACTGAACCATGTTTGGCAAAGGGGTTACTAGGACCTACATACACAATACAGTATTGAATCTTTGAAATTTCATGGTTAGCTTTTTTGACTTGGCGGGTTGTTTAGTGCCGTGATAGTCCGAAAATTTGGGACTCTCAATACTGTGTATGAGAGTCCCAAAACGGGAAGTAGCGGGAATTAGTCTCAATTTGCTACACATTTCTCCATAAGCCACCAGACTATTGACTTTGAATGAAATGAGGTCAGTCTTTTCGAATAGTTGGACCATGGTTGAACATGTACCAGTCTAGTATTTAGCCCCATTTTGAAATCCCTTGACTTCCCTCTCATGTGCAAAATATTAAAGAAAAGTCTCCTTTAAAAATTGAATTGAGTCTGCAAACTTGGTTGGTGAAATACTGAGGACATTTTCTTTGCCACAGTGGAATTTTTGGAGAAATTTGCTGGCTAAACTGTGAGTAAAGTGGGCCTGATTTAGTTTTGCACGTTTCAGAGCACTCCAGAGCCCTGATTGGTGCTGTGACTGACATAAAAAAAAAGCGATGCAACTCAAAAATGTCAAACATGTTTTTAAAATTTCTCTTCAGGTTAAAAGTGCTGCAGATCAAAATCCATTAGAACATTAGAGCTAATAGGGTTACTAACGCATGTAGTAAGATGGGGGGAAAAATCATGAATTTTTGAATGAATATGCCTGTTAATATAAAACAAATTAACACCCA